CAGCCTGTGGTCCTCCAGTGACCCCTGAGTGTGAACACTGTGGACAGCGACACCAGGTGGGCCCAGGTCAGAGAAAGGCAGCGGGCCCAGGGCCCCAGAGCTCGTGCATTTATTCCCCTTGCTCGTCTGTATCCTGTGTGTTCACAGCTTGGAGGCCCCATATGGGCAGACCCCATCCATGACCTGGACTTTGTGGGCCGAGTTCTTGAGGCAGTGACCACTAATCCTGGCCGCTTCCACACCTCCAAGCGAATCCAAGGTGTCCTGAGTGTTGTTACTGAGGTATGAACTAGATGTACACAGGGAGGGGACCCCTGTGTGCTCACCTTCCTGCCAGCACTCCATGCTAGTCTACCCTTACCTCTCAGGAACTTCCCGACGTCCCTCTCTACTACACACTGGACCAACTGAGCAGCACCATCCACTGCAACACACCCAGCCTTCTGCAGCTTCGGTGAGGGCCTTTGGGGGCAGCGTGGACCATCAGAGTCTAGTGTGTGCCTAGGGCAGAGCTGAGAGGACATGAACCCTCCAGTAGGTGCTTTGCTTTTTAGTTTTTATGGATGTGTGTTTTGCCTATGGATGTGTATAAGTACACCATGTGCATGCAGTGCCTAAGGAGGCCAGAAGAGGGTGTCAGATTCCCAAGCCTGACTGGAGTTAGAGGATTGTGCGCTGTGATATGGATACTAGGTTCCAAATCCAGGTCCTTTGCAAGAGCTGCAAGTGCTCTTAACCACCGAGACATCTCTCCTGCCTCCAGCTGACGGTTTTGATGCCACAGTCACTACATGTTTTTCCTGTTAAAAAAAAACAAACAAAAAACAGACAGACATGCCATGCCACGTGACCTGCTTTGGGCTCTAGCCACCCCTTGTGGTCTCTGTTCATCCAGGTCAGCTCTTCTGCACGCTGGCTTCCGAGTCTCTCTCTCCCATGCTTGTAAGAATGCAGTGAAGACAGATGCTCCCCCACTAGCCCTCTGGGACATCATGCGTTGCTGGGTGAGGGCAGTTGACCCCTTGATTCAAGGCAGGAGGGCAAGGAAGGGATGGTGACTTGGGTGCACCTCAGGTCTAACATCTCTTTGACCTCTGTCCCCAGGAGAAGGAGTGTCCAGTGAAACGGGAGCGGCTGTCAGAAAGCAGCCCAGCATTCCGAATTCTGGCTGTGGAGCCCAGGTATGGACAGACTGCCCTACAGGCACATGTATACAGAAGTCAGACACTATTAAGGGAAATCCAGAATCACTGTTGTACTTTCTGTCCTTATCCTGTGCCCTTCCTACTCTATTTGTACCGTCTGTTCTTCAGCCATACATACCTGTGAGTGTCTGGGTCAGAGGACAGAGCATAGATCTTCCTTGGCTGGCTCTTTCCTTATAGCAGCCTGAACCCAGCATACAGTCTGTCCCGCCTGGGGCTTTGCCTGGGCCCTTCCCTGTCACTTCAGAGAAGCCTTGGGGACTGGGCCACCCTGTCAAGCATTGTATCCTGACTTAGAGCTTTTACCAAAACAGTCACTGAGTGGCATGTTCTGACACAGTATGATTTTATTATTTTTATTTCTTTGAGGTGCTAGGGATGGAACCTAGAACCTTATGCATGCTGGGCAAGCTCTCTACCTGGGTCATACCCCTAGCCCTAGTTACTTCTGATTTGTCTTGTTTGTCTGTAAAACCAGCTCCACAGGACAGATCCAGGCCACTTGGTCAGAAATTCACTAGGAAATTCAGGTGTTACAATGGAAGAACTCTGAGCTTGGTAGACCTGTGGTCTTGCTGCCTCAGGGTGGGCAGGTTCCGGGGCTGTCTGTGTTCGCCCTGCATGGCTGCTACCTCCAGCCTCCGCCCGTTTCTACAGGCTGAAGGCCAACTTCAACATCCGGGGAGACGCCAATCCCAGCTCGCGCCAGCAAGGACTCAAGCGCTTCCAGGCCAATCCAGAAGCCAACTGGGGTCCCCGGCCCCGTGCCCGGCCAGGGTAAGTGGTGATGCTGCAGAGGTGGGGCTTGGCTAGGGCCAGTTTGGGTAAAGACGAAATAGGATACCAGCCCTTGTCTCTGCACAGGGGCAAGGCAGCAAGTAAGGATCTGGAGGAGAGGCGGAGGCTGCTACAAAATAAACGGAAGGAGCCAGCTGAGGACCCAGCCCAGAGGGCAGCTCGCCTCAAGACATTTCCTTGCAAACGATTCAAGGAGGTGATTCTCTTCTTCCACCCTCCTGGCCACCGAGCCAAAGGACAGGCTGACTAGCACAGAAAGAAACCCAGCCGTGTGCTCACAGCCTGGTGCTTTACACCCTCCATTTTCCCCCTAGGGTACTTGTCAGCGAGGGGACCAGTGCTGTTACTCACACAGCCCTGCTACGCCTGTGGCTGATACTCCCCTCATGGACTGTCCAGAGACCATCACCGATATCTCCCCCAGACCAGAGGCTGCTGATGGAGGCCCTGCTGGGTCAGGTGTGGACTGAAACAATAAAGAGATATCACTTTCTGCTGGTTGTCATTTTGAGTGGGGAGGCTGCCTGTCTGAGGGACTGCCTGTCTGGGGGGGCGGGGGTTGTTCCTGACTGACTTGCAGCTTTGTCTGTCTGAAATGGAAACTGAACTGGCAGTTCAGGAGAGCAGTTCATCAGATGGCCACAGGGCGGCATCTGCAAGCATGCTTGCCTGTCAACCTGCTGTCTATCCAGGCATTTCCCCCACTACCCCAGCACGGCACAAGTCCCCTGCAATCTCTTATTGCCTGGTTTCTTGGGCCCAGCTCTCTCCAGTTTGGTGTGGTGACGGAAACCAAACCGGAAGCAGGCACTCTGTACATCCGCTGTAGACCAGGTGCTTCCTGCCCTGCCTGCTCCTCAATAGGGGTTTGCTTGCTGAGAACACAGGCAGAGCAGGCAGCTGCCTGGACACCCAGAGACTATCCCCCTCCCCTAGAGTAGAGGGTTAATAATGCTGAACTAGTCTTGGGGGCATATGCACCCTTCACCAGCTATAAAGTGAGGCCCACTATAACAAGATCCTCTGTAGGAAGTCAGAGGGGGTAGTGACCTCAGCACTTTAATGAGGCTGGATAGCCACTGAGCACCTCCCTGATTGTGCCTATAATAACCAGATACATTACATGGTACCACCTAGAGCTCAGCATCTCTTGGAAGCCTTTATTTAAAAAAAAAAAAA